ACTTGAGGTATGCAGACCAAATAATTACATTACAAGATTTCCAACAGTGCGCCGTGAAAACAATAAAGATGCGGAAAAAAGCTTATCACGAGTTAACTCGTGACCGGTCAGCAATGTGTTAAGACGATCTTAAGAATAAGCAACGATTTTGAATATCGGCCATAGATGTTTTTATTGGTGGTTCCGATGTACGATACCTGCATCGCCTTAAAATGTGTTGTTTGTTCGTTAGTAAAATTTGAACAAGGCGCGAGCTCGGTGCTCTTTAGAAACGGTAATATCAAGCGGAGAACTACGGTCACAGTTTATGTGTCACCTTTGCATCTACATCTCGTCGGCGTGATCTGCGCACGGGCATAGTCGGAGTCGGAGTCGGCATGTCGGAATAAGAGGATCGTGGATATAGGAATGTAAGAATAACGGGATGGAGTATAAAGTTCTATTTCAGTCGAGAGAGGGACGCGGTTGCCTGGGCGCAAGCGGGTATGGTCACGTGGTATTGATGCCGCAACAGTTATTGGCTACAGCATAAATCCGCGAAATTTAAAAATGCGACAGTGCAATGCAATTTCCAGTGGAAATATTTTTTAATTCGTAATACACCATGATCTCTTTCATTATGGTTTTAAATTATCTACATGTAGGATTGTTATTGCTACCCTCCCGTGAACGTATGCAACTGAAAAGTAACTCTATGTGGTCTTGATTAAATTTATAAAATGGTATATATTTTAATACACTTCTGTTCTCGACCCAAGTTGTATATAAAATTTCTACACTTCTTATATATGCACGCGCAAAATCCAATAAACCCTGTTCTCCTGCGCACCTGATGCTTGGACTGTATGCAATTTTTCAATATATTGTCTATACTTTACGATTTTATTGCTACTATTGATAAAAACTTTGTAATCGCTGATATTTCTTCTTAATTTTAACATATGACATGGGTCTGGGATAACGACAATTGTATCATTAGTTACAGAAAATGAGGTTTGCAAACAAAAATTGTTACTCAAATTACAGCCTAATTGAAGCTATGGTAAAATTTGTTGCAGTCCTGTCGCACGTTAAATAAGTGATGCACATTTCAATATCGTGCAAAGAACATATGTACTGTAACATCAAATTTACCTTCTGTTCCACAGGCATTTTATCTGTTAAAAAGTACTAAACTAGAATTTTCCATGAGGAATTAATACAAACTACCAATGAATACCAATGCTTCTTTTGCAACTGTTGCATCGTAACCAATGAATTCCTTATATTATCGTCGTAGTCAACATGTTGACAAATTACCATTTCATCGAAAATTAAGGAGTCAAATAACAATGCAATTTGCCTGTTGTTTAATTGCAAGTAGGGTTTCTGACAAAATGCCAAGGTTTCCTTCAATACCTCCTTACCATTTGTTTAAAGTATTCGTATGTGGTAAACAATTTTCACCAGACGAATTCATATGCCTTAGGTGAGTAGTAATGAAGCGTTAGGGTGAATGCTTTCATTTCATTTGGAAATTTTTTAGCTACGCCTCCTCTATTCTTTTTTAGTTGCCGTTCAATTATACCACCATTCGGTCCACTAACATCCCGCAGTATTTGGAGTTGTTCGCCATCGAAGATGTTATTCGCTTCTAGCGATTTCGTAATTCCCTGCAGAGATATAATTTTCCGCAGGAAAGCATTTTGATGAAAGTTTCAGCACACCGTGGCGTCTGAAAAACAAATGCGCGCCGTAGAAAACGCATGCGCAATATGTCAACAAATTGAACAAATCAGAATTGCGGCAGCACATTATGCGATTCGTCTTACCCCGGGAGCGAGTACCCCTTCTCCAGTTATAACTCCATCCTGTTCTTCCCACATTCGGGAGAAGGATGCACGCGCGATAAGAGCGCGGCGCGTCGAAACTCGGAACGACGTTAGCCGCGCCGTTACGAACCGTCGGGATCAGTCGGTCCAACAGGGAGGCATATAACCTATATTCGAAACGGCTTGGCGCCGTTACATTCTCCGTGTCTCCTCCCCGGCGAGTAGCGGCCGCGGCTCCTCCTTCTCGCCGATTTTAATCTGGTTAGCGGACACGTGCGCGCCCCTGCGCCCACAGACCGTTATACGACGACCTACTGTGCCGGGGCTTCGCCAATCTGGTTTGGTCTAACAGGATTCTCCGAGGGTTGATAAAAGGCTGCGTACCGAGCGGGCGCGGCGCGAATCGCAGGAGGAGTTGCTCCGTTCGAGGTGTCGGCGCTCGTGCAGCCAACGGCAATAACAGCAGACGACCTCGTCATCGTCTACTATTCTGTCGTTCCCCGGTTCGTCGTTTTCCGGTCTACGTTCTCTCCTCGCGGATCGTGCTCGTCGTTTGGCATACGTTCGCGTGTATACAGGTTGCGCGTGTGCGCACACACGGTGCATATATTCAGTGCGAATCTATCTCGTCGCGTGTGCGGTACGGACGGAAAGAGCATATAGCTACCCTAGAAAAAGAAGGAGAGAGAGAGAGTGAGGGAGAGGGAGTGAGGGAGAGAGAGAGAGAGAGAGACACGCACGAAGAGCAGAGCGTCGGAGAAGAGAGAAAGGGAGCGTGAACATCGAGAAGAAGAAGAAGAAGGAGGGAGAGGGAGAGGGAGAGAGAGAGAGGTAGATAAGATTGGAGAACGCGAAACGGAGAAAGAGCGCGAGCGTGAGCGAGAGGGGGTGTACGTTGGAAAGAGCGAGAGAGGGGAGCCGAGGGCGAAGGAGATAGAGCGCCGGTGGGTTACCACACCCAACCGCGCCGGGGACCGAGTGAACGAGTGAACTGAACGAGCCGTACAAGAGCTCTCTCGCGAGTAGTACGCGGGTTCAGCGGGGGACCCAGGGACAGTCGGGGGACTCTCCAGAACTTGATCAAAAAGTAACTCGCTCTCGCGAAATTCGTCTCTCGACCGGAATCTGCGATCGCGCCGTGCGCCGATAGAAGACTGAACGTGTGCCGCGCGTGTCTCCCCCGCTTCCTCGACGTCTCTCGCGAGTGCGTTTCACGTTTGATCGGCAAACGTGCGTGCGCGAATCGAAGGATAAGCGGAAAGGAAGGCCGAGCAGCGGAAGAAGACACAGCAGTAGCACGGGAGGGTCGTACGTCGTGGCCGCCGGGAAAAAGGTTCGCGGCGACGAGGCGGAACGAGAAGAAGAGAGGGCCACAGAGACGAGCTACCGGCCGAGGTTTCGTGCGTGTGCGTACATGTGTTGATGTGTCGCTGGCGTCGTCGTCGAGCCCTGCCAGGAGTGCCCCGTCGTCGCCGACTCCGCGTGTGCCGACGTCGTCGTCGTCGTCGTCGTTGTCCTTGTTGAGATTACGGTGATAACGGACGACGCGTTCGTCAGATCTACGTAGCTCACGTCCGCGTCCGCGTCCGCGAGTCTACGTCGCTCGTACTCGTCGTCGACGCCGTCGCCGGACGGGAGGTGGTGGTGAATCGTGCGTCGGTAGCGGTAGTGGCGGTGCGGACGATCGGGAAAAGTTTCATCGGCCCTGCCAGGACAACGAGAGATTAAAGGAAACGAGAGAGCAGGACAACCACGAGAACGGCGACGGGGCCATCGTCGCTCGTTCGCGGTGGCAAGGTAACATCGGCCCGACGACGATACCGTGCCGTCGAGCCCGCTGCTGTCTACGACGAACCTCGCCGCTCGGCAATCGCTCGCCACCACCGCGAATCGTTCGTTCCCTCTCTCCCTTCCTTCCTCCCTCCTCCCTTTCCTCCCTCCTCCTTTTCCTCGTCCTCGTCCTCCGTGTCCTCTTACCTCGTTTTTCTCCTCTCTTCCTCCTCCGTCCGTCGAGGATTCTGCCGTCCTGAACTATGGCGTGCTGCCTGTCGGAAGAGGCGAGGGAGCAGAAACGAATCAATCAGGAGATCGAGCGGCAACTCCGTAAGGACAAACGGGATGCCAGGCGGGAACTTAAGCTGCTACTTTTGGGTTAGTATCAATCGTTCGACCGCGCGTGTTACCGCGAACGCGAAACTCGCTCTGTCGCACTCTTCTTCCAGCGGTTCTACCGCGTGACCGGAACTTCGACTCAGGTGTCGCGGTAACGGCGCGAATCGAAGATTCCAATTAATTTTACACCGGTCCGACGCGTGTCTCGCGTTCTTCCTCATGACGAACGTCGCTCCGGTGCCGCGCGCTGACCTGCGTGCACCTCGCGTCTCGCACCGTTTCCAACTTCGAACTCGAACGCCGAACACGCTGCCGGCGACGCGCCGATCGAATCCATCGGGTGTGCCGTCTCTTCCTATTCGTCCTTTTCATCATCGCATTCCTTCGATTCATTCACGTTTCTCTCCCTTGCGAACGCGCCTCCCGGCCGGATCTCCGTATCTGCGACGTGCGCCCCGTTCCCGTAAAACCGACCCCACACGGATCGGAGAGCACGAGTGCGGTTGACCCGGTCTGGCCGGCGCGCGGCGTGCGCTTGACAGTTCGCAGTTCGCGCGTACGCGGTCTCTCCGGGAGAAGCTACGAGATTTGAATTTTTTTTTTAATACACTCGAAGACCCCGTATATAAAAAACCGACGATGTCACGTTCTTCGATCGAAAATGTCTTTTTCAATTTTCTTACGTGTATCTCAAGTGGCGTTGTCGGATCATTTATCAAACGATCGATAAACGAGTTTATTGTGGTAAAGTGCATTTTATGACTATACTATTTAATAACTATTTTGCGATCGTCGGACGAATTTTTTTCTTATACAGAGAGATCAGAGTGGTACCGTAGTACCTGATATCTTCACGCCTTTTCTTCTCTTATCTATATATAATAGATAGTCGTAGGTTTCACGTTCGTTCGACCTGCTGCATTTGATTTTTAATAATATTTCCATCGGGAGTCGCCGTTACTCACTTTGATATCGCCAATCACGATGATGATAATGTCACAGATATGTTTCTGTTTCGTTTTTCTGGCCCCCTGATCGTTACCATTATCCCGTTGCAACCGCTTTACGCAGGTATGTACGTACCTGAACAGGTGCCTGAGTAGATGCATACCCACGGTGTGTATGTACATACGCGGTTGCTCTCGTGATCACGCAGAGATTTCTCGAGCTCAGCGACACGTAAAGAGATACGTGAACCCGTTTTTAGAAAATTGCCAAGATATTAAAAGCCGCTTTATTATTATCGCTGCTTTGTGGGCTGCCGATTGAGCAAATCGATTTTCCCGTACAAGAAATTATCGCGGATGTGATTTTTATAACGTTCTCGTTTCGCTCGTGGAGACGTAATAAAGGTGACGAGTCGCGTCACCGATCCGATTACGGATTACAGATTACAGCGCGGACGAAGCATTGTAAAAGTAGATACCTTCTCCTTTTTCGACGATGAAAATTACATGCGTCGTCTCGCTGAAAGATCCACGCTGTCGCTCGAGTAACGTATATATTCCACGCTCCGTGGCCATGGTCTGTACCGTGGACGCGAGGAGAACCGACTCTGTACACATAAGATCTTGACTAAACAGCGTTTAGCGGGAGTGTATGTACGAGTCTTGCAACGCCGATACCTGCACTGTACCTCTTTTCCTTTTTTTAATAGCGTCACGTTCGTCTGGATCTCAAATGTTGTTGTATTGGTCGTTCATAGATTCGTCAGATTCATATGTTCTTATATTTATATACGAGGCTTTATTACATCGAAAAGCCCCGTACGGATACTAATATGTATGTACAGCTAGTAACAATGAAACTGAGCCAGTTTGAGCTTGTATTAGTTTCCCCTAGGGGAACAAAATCCAAAACGAGTAATAAGTCTATATCTTGTTTTTCTCAAGCCTCGATCTGGCATCGATGCTGCTAGATTTTCACATCATTTTGACGTTTTAAACCTTATTTGACACTGAACATATAAGTTTACGTTGTCCAAGACAAAACATTTAAGGTAGCTCGTCCCTACGATGGGCTTATTTTAAAATCTAATGCATTTTTTTAAACAATTTTCATGGAAACCTTATATTTTCTTTACGGAAAATGATGGTTCAAAACTTTAACTATTGTTTTGTTGAACTTGTATTAAAATCGTATATATTTTGCAAATGCTATCAAGCTACCTTAAAAATATCCTCGATTTTCATCAATCATGTATCACGAAACGCATAGACATGCAACAAGCAATTGAGAACTGAGAAACGACTGTAAATTCGGGCCTTATATTTTAGACGCTTGGTCCGACTTTTCCGCGGTTCTGAAACGCGAGACGTAATAGAATCGGTAATGCGATCCTAGCCAGGTTTCAAAACCCCTTTGTCGCGATCCACATCTCGGTACTCGGCAACTCGCGGTATCCGAGATACTGTACTCGGCTCGCGTGCGATCTGAAAAGTCGCCTGCTCGTTACCGCGTATTGTCTCTCGCCGCGAGACTTTCATGCCTTTGTGACTTCATGATTCACACCAGCGTGCATATTTACCTAGCTACTCCGCACAATGAAACCCGAGCTAAACGCGCTCCAAGCGGTTTTTTATTGGGTGTCACCGCGCGTACAAGCGGTCAGACGCGCTGTCCTTTCATGCGGAACCCTATTCTTTTTTTTAACCACTCTTCTTTTCCTCTCTTCCTTCATCCGCTTCGCCTTCGACAAAGAAAACTGCACCTCGGTCGATTCCTTTTACTTTTAATTATCGCCGCGTACCAATTCCACTTGTAATCGTTCGTATCGTGTTTAGTCGAACCCAAACAGCGGGTGGTCAGTCTGCAGATTCGAAGTCCTTTTCGACCGGGGGCCCATGACCCTTCTGCTTTTACACGCTTTTCCCTATACTCTATCCTACCGACTACAGTCCTGATTTCGCTCGTTTTCGAGCTGTCGCATCCGACAGTTATCGGTCGGGTGTCATATAGTGGGAATACTCCTTAATGCGTCGCGATCGTCCGACGCTCCCTGATCAGACTTGGATACACGTGTACGTATCCTTCGTGTCGCGGTTTGTAGAAGATTTCGTGCGTATCGCCTCGACGTGATCGAGTCTCGTTTCATCCGATCCCACATTTCACCGAGATAATCATCTGAAAGATTGCTGTTCCGATTCCGCGACGATGTGCACGTGGCCAGCAATGGCAGCGATCTACACCGGATTCCTCTGCGATTCGTTTCCCGATTGCTCACATATATAATTATTTCATCTACGTTCGGTCCATGACTCATGCGATACGCGCGCTGCGTCCAACAGTTCGCTGGGTGACTCCTCGTTCGTTACGTTTGTCAATGAAATCATAAAATATTTACGGCGATCAGATTTTGTGTCCTACTACTACCTTCACGTGTTTTCGCTACACTTTCAAACGAATCAACGCGTACACGTATGCGTGCGTGTTGTAGCTTAACCGCAGCTGATCGAAGCGTTGCCAAAAGATACGTTCCTCCGTAAAGACACTGAATTAGGATTCGGATGATAGGACGTTAATTTGATCGACTCACCGGCCGTGTAACGAGCTACGCGCGACGCGCTGCTTTGCTAAAATTCGCAGGAGTTATCGATTGGCGGCTGACTCGACCGATCACCTCCTGGCCGTGCTTCTTCGGCATATGTGCGTGCCGAGCCGGGGGCTTTCTTCGTGTCGATGAACTCCCGAATCGCGGCGAACTTGTCCTGTCGGCATAAAATGAAAAATTCTCGTCATTCTTTTCGCAACGATCGAATAGAATTTTCAACTTCTGGCTAACCTCTGCCCGCGTGCCGCTATATTCGCGACCTTCGGTCAACACCTAAAAACATCAACTTTTGTTGGTGGTTATTAGAGATAAATGAACAGGATCGGAACGAGTTTGCACGGCAGCGTTAATGCGTATTATGCGGTACATACGAATGACTCATTGTTTGTATACATTTACTTCCACTCGTATTTTTTGCCGATACGATACGTGATGTGGCATTGAGCATCCGCTGTCCATAGAGCACTTAGAGCATAAACTACACGGAGGAAGCACGCTTACGGCGACAGTGTAGACGACGGTGAGAGAAAGAGAAAGTAGTTTGAGTATTATCTTTCTCTCTCGCGCAAGCACGTGATTGGTTCACGCGTTTGCGTCTCTATGGTTAAGAGAGAGAGAATACCCAAACTATTGCTCTCTCTGTCTCTCTCTCACTGTCGTCTACACTTTTTCACACTGCATGCTTCCTACATATGCTCTAAGATAGTGCATGTTCCCCGTCCCGCACCGTCTGATCGGTATTTACTTACGGATCGTGGACTCGGCTGCGACCTCTGACTGAGTATGAGCGAAAGCAGTCCAGTATTAGATCTCCAGATTTTAATGAACAGACCACGAATTCGTCGCATCTATAGGAAGAGTGCGGAGAAGATATAAAGGACGCGTGTCCTGAATAATGTGTAAAAATTACGTGTCGAACCCAAGTCTGATTCATCATCGTTACTCCTTAAATCGATGTTGTCGTTGCGACGTTTTATTTTACATGAAGATCCACGGTCTGTGATCTTAGTAACGACGATGATATCGTCTTGGGATTTACTACCGCGATTATGCAACTGCTAAATAATTGTTAATCACTCGCTGACAACGTTCAGTTTTTATCTGTAACGATCGCCTGTTGCTCAATGAAACGTTTCGTAATTCCGGTAATCGAGAAATCACGATGGAAAATTTACTTTCCATTCCGATCAACACGATAGATAATGCGTATGTACGATTCGATGAACTGCCAAGCAGCGTGGGTCAACGATTTCCAAAGATAATTGCTCGGACATGGATCAGCTTCGGACGAGTTAAAGTAAGCGAATTCGCTTCTCACACGTTCGTAACATGCGTAAAGTTTGTAGCGTTAGTGTCGAGTTTGCCGAGTATAAAAATCTGTAGGGTTCGATGAAAACCGAGGTGGACGGTAAAAACGGTTTCCGCAAACAGAAGGTATTACTTGCCGGATCGGAATGCCGGCCGGTTTCTCTTGTTGCGATCGTTTGTA